ACACTTTAGAGAGCTTAGAATAAGCAGACCTTTCAGTTTGTGTAAAACATAACATTCGATAAACGGTTTACAGGTTGTAAAAATTATTTTTTATATTTTTTTATAATTTAGTTAACAATAAGCTTTTAGTTTAACCAACCGTCGCCTAGACGTCAAAGTGGTTAGTGACTCTGACTGGCCCGGGTTCGAATCCGGGAAAAGCACGGATGTCAATTGTCTGTCCCTTTCTTTCATAGGAGATAACGGTGGCTACCTTAAGAGGAGGTAACGATTGTTTATTCAATTATCGAGGCCCTTAATATGCCTCTAATAAAACAACCCCGACTTTGGGCCTAGAATGGCTAGTGCTTGCCATAAAAAAATAAATAAATAAATAAAACATTCGACCGCGTCTGGCATGAGGGGCTTATTTATAAGCTTATAAATCTCCCTATGGATAGAGAGCTAATTCAATTTATCATGTCTTTTATTACCAATAGAAAGTTTACTGTTGCTGTAGGTACTGACTTCTCTAGCTTGCGCACCATGAATACAGGCGTCCCTCAGGGGTCCATTCTAGGGCCCGTCCTGTATTTATTTTATGTTCATGATTTTCCCAGGGCTCACATAGATATAAATCACTTTCATGGGTGCTATGCGGACGATACGGTATTAGCCGTAAAGTTCGCAAACGCACACCATGCGATCAAAAAGTTACAGGAGCTCCTGCCAGATGTTGAGAAATGGTGCACGAAGTGGCGAATTGCCATAAATGCAAGCAAGTCGCAATTGTTAATAATGAGAAGTAAGAATACACGTTCGAGAATTATTAGCAAGCTTTATTTATTCTCTGAAGAGATTCCCAGATTCAGTAAGGCGAAGTACTTGGCAGTGATGTTAAATGAAAGATTAAAGTGGAGAGACCATGTCACAGAAGTCAGAAGAAACGTTTTCACAGTTGTTAATAGTCTCACCCCTATTTTAGGTAATTATTCCAGCTTAGACCTCAGGAAAAAGCGGTTAGTATATATCACGGCAATAAGGCCTTTAATGACTTACGCGTCGCCGGCCTGGAGCACGGCTAACAAGGAGGATATGAAAAGGCTTCAGATAATGCAGAATAAAGTCTTAAGGCTTATCACTCATGCTCACTACTATGTGAGCAATGCTACCCTACATTGTGACTTGAAACTGGACTTTCTAGAATAGCACCTCAGAAAAATAAATAGAAAATTCTTCACGAAAACGCTGAACTGTGAACATATGAGTAATTTTGACATCTTTACCTATGAAATCTTGGATGAGGACTCCAATTTGCGTCCATTTGCGGCCCACCTTATCAGGGACTTGAACTTTCCCACCTAGTGCCCACATTGTAAATATTGTACATAGTGTGTATATATCTCGTAACTTTATTACACTTTACTTCATTTAATTTGTATTTTGTATGTATTTTATCTACTCAATGTTTTTTTTCACAATTGTTACTCATTTATTATGACTCCCATTTAGTCACGCCTAAACTGAGCCTGTTTACTTATTAGTGAGCTCTTGCGTTGCTGTACTTCCTGACCTTTATCCGTCCTTGCTCCTCCTTACGGAGGACATTTATATGAAGATAGTATTATGTTATTGTGCACATTGGCATAAATTTGATTGAGCCAGATAAACTACTGATCTCAGTGGTACTCTGGCGATAAGTTTATTAGTCAGTCATAAAAAAAAGGCCAGTTCTCGTATAAAATTCATTTCAGTTCAGTTTTCTATGAAGATGCGAATTTGTCACATATTTAAGCAAACATAAAGGAAGTAAGAAAAATTAATTTAGGTGGAAGTAAATACGCTATGCATTTATCAGTGATAGCATTTATACCGCTGTGGCTAATCGAGTTAAAAGAGTTGGTAAGACTAAACTATTGCTGGTTATGAGAACTCCAGTTAGTCAGAGAATTATTAGAAAACTGTTTCTTTAAATAAGAGGATTAACATTAATACTGACATTTTTGAAGTTATTTGAATTGTGTTATAATCATCAAATTTACTCCCGTGAATTATAGTAAACTTTCGAATTAAGAGTTTAGTTTTGTGCTTTTAAACATAGTGAACGAAAATGAAACTTCCCTCATTTGTTATTTATTTAGAATAGGTTAGTTTTGAAGAATGCTTATTTTTCGTTCAGCTAACTTCTGAAATTTTTAAATTTTAAAAAGAGCCTAAGATTTTTATTTGAATTGGCAATTAAATTATTTTAAATTAATGCAAAGGAAGATATTAAAATTTCCATCATTACTTCCACAACAACAACCCACTTTATATTAACAAGTATCTATGTATTTACAGTTATTTGACTTGCATCTGTGGAAAAAAAGATAAAATAACTATTATCCCCATACGACATATGTCTAATTTACAATTTTTTCAGAGAACACCATGTGGAATATTGTGATTGGAAATGAGGGCCATGAGCTTCGAGTAAGCCCGGTCACAGAAATTGACATCGATTTCAATAAATTTTCAGCGACTTTAGCTGCTGCAGATTCAACATATCCCTCCCCCTCGACTAAAGTGAATTTCCGAATTAGAATTTTACCTGTAGGTGAGCATCTACTTACTGACTGGTAACGAATCTATTTTGTATAGATAGAATTAACTTTCATTGAAATTTCCTTCATTAATAGGTCTTTTATAAACATTCTCTGTACTAATCAAAGTTCGCGCGTATGTCTGTCGTTTTGAATAAAATATTCCTCCAAGTGAGCACGTAATACCATTCTCTACAAAAGTGGATTTGCTTAATCTAATAAATATGACTGCAGTGCCATCTAATGGAACAGTAAGGAAGTGCTTATATTTAACTCTGCAGCAAAGAGATATAGAAGAAAATAGTTATTATAAAATTATAATCTTCTAATTACTGCGACTTGAACGAGCGTTACAAATGCAGAAAGTTGTTCAGATGTAGAAATAGAAAACAGATTTTTCACTCAAGTGTGTTATAAAAGTATTTCGTCAATATTTGTTGAAATTTTAATCATATATAAAGAACACTATGCTTGCTCAAAATTTACCACATTTACTGATATGTTAATGTACATCGAAGAGAATCCACTACTAATTCACTGCCTTCCTGTGCGAGCTTGGAATGGCAAAGATATAATAGTCCCTAAGACAACAGATTTCGTCCAGGATTCCGCCAATACTGCAGTTCCCTGCTTGCCGAATTGAGGGTTTTGTTATTCATCTGTACAGTAGATTTCCAGTAAAGGTTACTCAAATCATCTGAAGGTTTCCGATACTATGTATGTTTAATTAGGATTGCGAGATTATGGTACTTTACAACCAGGGCTGTGGAGTCGGAATCGGGTAGATTTTGGGGTAAAAAGAGTCGGAGTCGCTAAAAAACACGTCGACTACGATTTTTCAATTTCAAAATTAATGCTAATAGAAAATAGAATTAATAGAAATAATAGCTAATAGAAAATAGAATTAATAGAAAAAATTTGCTATGCATCAATTTTTATCTGTAGCATCTACTACTTCTTTTATATTAAAAAAAAATAAGCTGTACCCATGTTTATATGTTTACATATATATCAAGGAGTCGAAGTCGGAGTTATTAAAATTCCAGGAGTCGGAGTCGATTATTTTCCTTACCGACTCCACAGCCCTGTTTACAACAAGTCTACTCGGAATGCAAAGATATTTCTAGCTGAAATGCTTAATTTTCCACCTGGTTCCCATTCAAGTGACAAAACCGTTATTTTAAACACAACTGACTACTTCAGGCAGACAATAAGTGTACTATACATGCCATCTAGTAGCCAGTCAAAAGATGCCAGAAACTTTTGTCTTGAAATATAATCTTAATTTTTTAACATTGAGGACTAAGATGACCACTGCTAGTATTTCAACTGATACTGCAACTAAAACTTTTTAAAAATTTTAATTGTTCTAATATTTTACCATCAGATTTAGTGCTGTCTTTGGTCCGAGTTACCACAATAAAAATTAAATGAGAAGGTTAGACATGTGACCTCTCTTTGTGTGTAGTAGAATATAGTATTTAAGCTAACTTGGTCTTAATTGCACTTAATTAAGACATATTTTCTCTACTTAGCATCCACCTGACCAAAAGTAATAAATTTAAATTCAGATTATTTCTTTTTGTCTTAGTCTAAGGCAGTCTATGTTTGTTTCGGCCCCTAATCATTCTCTTTACCGGATGAGACTGAATCTCGAGCGTCAGCTTTACATTTTATTCTGGCATGTTTCTTCCGTTAATCAAATTACTTAGTTAATTTCTTTTAAAAAGTAATTCGTTTCTCACTGAAATGTGGAAATAACCTTCCTCTAAAATGAAGTACTTATAACTCTATGACTCTCTTCTAAAAGATTTGGACTGTCACTTTTGGTAATTTGTAGCAACAAATCGTTACAATGTCACAAACTGTCAACACGATCACGCAGTAAATTGCAGATCATCATTGCACTCTCTGTAGTAAAATGTTAGCAAAATCAAATTCAGCATCCAGTTTGCCTCTAAACATCAAGATTTGGGTGAATACAAGCCAGTTTCCCTTAGAAAGTCCTTGACGTAGGCTCCCTATCATTAGGCAAGTAGCCCTCGTGTGATTTCAAATAACTTTACCCAACCAGATACAATAAAATCTGGCAAGGATTATTGCGAAATATTTCATTCGGCTGATAGTGCTGACTTCAGTCCGAATTTTTGAGAAATATTCATCTGGGCCTCTTTCTGGAATTTTGTCCTGTTTAAATTATATTTTAATACACAAATTTGAATCACCGCATGCCGCAGAACCTTGTTTTTGAGTGAAGGCGTTTCATACAAGGTTAGAGTAGAATTGCTCGTGCTGCTATCTAGTGAGACAAGTAAAGAACTTAATTTATTGAATGCTTCGTTTATAAAACTGATGACTCAGCTAAAAATTTTAATTAATTACACATTTATGATTGCAGGAAAAGAACGAGTTTCACATCTTTTGAACCACTTTCCCCTCTGCTTGAAAAATTATTATTTGCTTTTAAACATTTAACTCAATCACACAGAAAATACTCCTTTTTTTCATAAGATAGGAATGAAATGAAATTTCAAACTGAAAATTCTTCTCACAGATCTTGGCTTTGTGTATCCAGGGGAGACGCTAGAGCTGAATATAAGAAGTTATGTCTCCTTACCAGCCGAATCTATAAAAACCAAGTGGTTCTTAGAGGATAAATGGTGAATCCAGTTCTTTACCAAGCAATATGAAGCGTAGTGACACAGGCGAGCTTTTAAGGATATCTGAACTTCGAAAAGAACAAGAAGGCACCATTGTGTGTTCGGTATACACTAATTCGGAATTTTTCGCCACTAAAAGAAGATTTCTCATCAAAGAACTTGGTAAATATCATTATAGATTTATATATATTTAATTTTTCATTGTCGTCTTTTTTTTTTTTTTTTTTTTTTTGTTGTGTGTGTGTGTGTGTGTGTGTGTGTGTGCATTTCTGGGTGTAATTGATTTATTAAATTTTACAATGAAGAATATGAACGACCACAACAGCAGTCTTCAAACTATGTTCAGCAGAACCCTCAGTTTGTGCAAATCAAAATCAAAAGAATTTTTAATCCCATGCAGACTAATGTCTAAATCTATTAAACTAAATAATATTTTATTTCTGTAGTTATAACTGTTCTTATTATTGTTACTTAAAATAATTTGAAGTACAGAAAGTGTTTACGCATTTTTAGAATGATTTCGATAATGAATTTTAAAAAGCAAATACTTTGGAATAAAAATTTCCGGCAATAACTTATTATTTGAAATGAGAAATATCGTCTGCTTCTTTTAAATTTATACTTCTTTCAAAATGTTGCACATAAACAAGTTGTGATATCAAATATATGTTTTTGTGCTTTTCGAAGAGAAATATTCCTATTCCATAATTAGAAAACGTTATAAAATGCATGGTATTAAAATATCCAAGTGCAAAATAAGCAACATTATTAATCAAAGAGGGAAAAACTGTCTGTCATTACTTCTAAGGGGAAAAAAGACTCAAAACGAATACCCGAAAAAGGTATTTACTGTTTCTAAAGTTAAATCATTGTTAACAAGAGAAAAGCCATTGCAACTGCATACAGCAACAATAAATAAAATATTAAACCAAGATTTACAACTTGAAAAATCTGAAAACATTTTGCTCACCAGCTTTTACCAGAGGAACAATTTCTAGAACCATTGTATGGAAATTATTAAGCAGGAGATAAATGTAAATACATTGTGACCCTTGATGAGGCATGGGTTTACTTAAATGACTGCAATAAAAGAATCTATTTATTACTGAAAAATGAAGAGAAAAAATGTACAAACCTGGTTTTATCAACAAAAAAGAAAGTTTCAGTGACGAGTTTACGATCTTATAAGATTCTCTTACAACGGGAAATTAAAAATAAGACAAGTTGAAAACAAATGTTAAAATCAACTCAATATACTATCAAGAGAATCCTGAAATCTGATATTTACAGAAGAAATTCCATTTGTCTTTCCCAATGATCCTTCAAATAGTGAAACTTCATCAAGACAAAGCAATAAGTCATACTTCGAAAAGTACCACTGCATTCTTTGAAAATATGAAGACTAATACAGATATTGCATGTATACCTTTTCAACGTATTCCTGCGATGTGCATTTGGTCTCTAGAAAAGAGCTCTTTCTGCACACAAACTCACCATGGCTGATGGACTCAGGAAAATAGTGGAAGAGGAATAAAAATCAATACTCCTGAAGATTTTATGAAAAGCTCTTCTTCTACCATAGAGTAATGATGCAGACTAATAGTCTAGAAAAAGGCTATCTGATTGAGTAGTTATAAAAATACTCTTTACATTTTAAACATTAATTAAACAGCCCCAAAATCGTTCTAAGAATATATAAACCCCCCTGTGCACTTAAAATAAAATGTTTTTAAGTAATCATTAATATTAATATTTTCTAATGGCAACACCTACTTCACTGGGCAAATTGATCAACTCATTAGATACACATAAATGGCGTTGGAAAGCTACACATTTGACGAAGACTACCAGCATAAAACATTTGCAGAGAACAGCGTTGTAAAGGACCGATGACAGCACAACAAAGAGAGCGAGAAAAACTTTTTATTGGAATTACGAGTTTTCAACTTCACAACATTTTAAGATAGAGTCATCTGCCGTAATTTTGCAGTTTGGGGGCCGCCTTGATCTCCGACCTCACTCCGATGGAGTTCTGGTTCTAGGATTACCTGAAATCTAAAGTGTAAACATCAAAAAATTAGTCAGAATTGCAAGATGCCATGAAACGTGAAGTTATACAGATTCCTTCTGAGACGTTATATTGGTCACTGTTGTAAAAAATCTCCTCCATGCAGTGCATTATCGTCTGCGAAAATAAACACGTTGAAAACTTGTAATTCTCATAAATTGATTTTTCTCTCTCTTCTCGTGTTTTCATTGATCCGTTACAATGCTCTTCTTTGCAAATGCTTTACACCTGCAATTTTCGTCATACGTGTATCGTTACGATGCCATGTACGGTTTTTCAATGCCCTGATCGATTTGCACAACAAAACAAACAAAAAAAAAAAAAAAAAAGTGTATTGACATTCGAAAATTTTGAAATTTTTTCACTATTACAGCAACTGTGACAGCTCTTATTTACACATACCTTCAAATAATAATATCTAAAATTTTATTTCGTTGGTGAGCTAATAGGCCGCTAGAAGTTCATATATTGGAGAAGCTTTTTATGACCATCCTTCGTATATATATATTATATATATTTGAAGAAAATAAAAGAATAAACTTTTAATTGATAAATCCCTGCACTAAAGATGCAAAGGATTCAATAAAATGTTTTTAGTTCAGAAAGAAATGATTTTTCAATAGATTGTCCTATCTGAGGGGAAATGTATAGTGCCAATAAATTGTGTATGAAAAAGGGGAAGTGAAAAATATTTTTTAAGCCTTAGTTGGAACCTTTGTTATTAAAGCTAGAAAAATGTAAGAAGTGGGGTAATCAATTTAATTTGAGAATCAAAAAATTAAAAGGGAAGTAGTACTGACAAGCTTTTAATGTTTAATGCTTCAGAACTTCTCCATGGATTAGTGCTTAAAATATTAAACTGGGATCATTAATAAAAGCCAAACAACAAATTCCGTTCTTTTTGACATTATGCGACTCAAAATGTCATACGGTAATTTTTCTTGTTCACAAAATTATATTTCTAATAGTCAAGAACTATCCCTACTATGTTGTTCAAGCACAGAAAATAATATTAAATTTAAAAATAACCTATATTAAATTGTAAAAAAAATATAACTTATTGGGGGGACTTCATAAAACTCTACACAAATATATTTGAAAACGTTATTCATATAAATTATGGAAATGTCTACAAAGTGCTTCACCCAGTAAGTTTTTAGCCAACTAAAAAAATTCAGGAAGGGGGGAAGGTATTCTTGTTCAGGAAGGGGGGATTCAGTTCCTTAAAATTCAAAATTCATCTAAAAAAGAATCAAAAGTATGCAACATAAGTCACTTTTCGATGAAATGAAACAACAAAAATATTGATTTTAAAGGCCATGTAAAAACTGAATTTTTTTCTTTAAAATATATTTTGAAATGAAGTATTTTTATAAATAAGAATTTGAAAAGAAAACTTAATATTTCAATTTTTTTTATCTTATGAAAAAGCCACGTCTTAAAAGTTTGCCTTCAAAAAATCTCTTTTCTGAATTGCATCCATAGCTGTCTTTAATAATATCTGCAGGTAGTTTCCAATGGATGGCTAAAAATTTTAAATAATTATATACAGTCAAAAGTCTTTAATTCGGAATGATCTATAATACGGACCTCAAAGCTATAACCTTTCTGTGCATGTGTAAACGCATGATGCGTTTACGTGTGCGCATAATACATTTACGCATGCGCATTTAATGTATGACGGACGGTACAACCTAAGGTAAAATTATCTAATTATCTATTTCAGTTAATGTTGCAGATTGCGTTGTTCCTTAATCTTCTAATTGGATCCGGCTTATTATTTTTTGCAGACTGTTAGAGCAATTTTATAAAAGTAAGCTTGAACTTTCGATTATGTCAAAAAGAATTTCTGATTCTGGAGCTGCCAAAGGATCTACAAAGCGAAAGCATGTTTCGATGTCCATCAAACAAAAAGTGGAATTGCTGCAAAAAATGGATAAAGGCATACCCTCTGTTTCTCTGACCATTCCAAAATCTGTTTATCAATTTCAAGCAGCTGTGCGGGGGGGGGGGGAATGTCTTGGCACGCAATGAACTGGAAGTTGATCTGTCAGCACTATCCTTATCTTCAGGGCAGATGTTTTTATTTTATTCGCCTTATAATTCCTTACTAAATGTAGTATTTCATCTCGATGTACTCCTTCTTTGATATGATTTAAATCAATTCCTTGTCGTTATAAATTTCACGAATACACATCAAATAGTTTTCTGGTTGCAATTTTCTAATTTCGACTACGCGTAATGTATGCTTTACGCATGTGTGCGTTGAAAGAAATGTTTAATAAAGTAAACAAATAAATATTAAGCTTTTTTTTTTTTTTTTTTTTTTTTTTTTTTTTTTTTTTTGTAAATTTTGATACCCTTTAGATTATAATTGCTCTTTGTTTCATAAATTACGGTTTCATATTTTTAATTTTATAATTTCTGCATGCCATCTTACCAGATTTAAAGTGATGATCTATAATCCGGTAAAACCGATAATCCGGAATCGCTTAAGTCCCGATGAGTCCAGATTAAAGACTTTTGACTGTAGTGGATATTTTTAATGTATGATAAAAAGATTTTGTTTTATTAATTCAGCTATGGAAGATAATTTTCTTATAGACTACCTCCTGTTCAACCGAAAACGAAACGGATCAAGTGATTAAAACTGATGTAATATAAAATCCAATCAATTTTGATGTAATATAGCATTCAACCTCATTTGATGTAATATAAAATTCAATCTCACTTGATTCGTTTCTTAAACTGAAGTGCTAGGTCTACAATTAATGATTTAAAAGAATGATTAGTGATTAAAGAACCAATTAATGATTTTATGATTTTTTGGAACAATTGTGTATAATCAAAATACGAACTCAGTCCATGACAAAATCTATCTCATTTCCATTCTTATTTGTTATAATTTTTTCCTTCTAATTTTAGAAAATGAAGCATTGGTAGTGTCTAGAAATCGCACACATGCATATAAAAAAGCAGCTGATCCTGTAAATAACTTCAAACATTTCAGTAGAAGAAAAGCAAAAAATAGCATTCCACAAGTTTTGAAAGAACAAGCATATGCATTGAGGGGACAGCGTGAAAGTGAAGCAACAGTTAAAAAGATGAAAATGTTAAAAAGATGGAAGCGCAATGTGTTTCAGAGGGACATTCCAGTTTTTCAACAGATGAATGAAAATGAGGAGCCATCTAATTTGGAAAAGATTTCTGACTCACCAAATGAAGCAGTTTCTTATCAACCACTTAAATACATACAGTCTGACCACAGCATAAAATATAAAAGGTCACAACAAAAAAGCTATCAAAACAAAGGCAGAAGTACTAAAATCCGTGAAAGACAATTAAAACCTCCACCAGCTGAAGAAAATGAATACAACGATGATTTCTTGAACTATCCCATAGTCAACGTGCATGTGACAGAAGAAGAGATTGTTCCTAGTGACAGCAAATCTGGTATGGGAACAAGAATTTCTCAAATGGATGACCAGCAAGCAGGTGAAAGAGGATTTTCAATCATAAAAACGGACATTGTAAGAAAACAAAAGAGTAAAATGAGTGCTGACGATAAAATATCGAAACTAATAACCAAATGCAAAAAAGACAGAGAATGCTCTATGCATGCCACATGCTTCAAATATAATCAGAAGAAACTGGGATTCTGCAAGTGTGTCTCTGGTTTTCATGGGAATGGCGTATTTTGTTGGGAAGATACACATGATAGAAATCCTCCTCCATTTCTTGATGATAGTAAAGACCCAATTAAAGAGAAATATGCTTCATATGAAGAAAAAAAGGCCAGACATCATACTAAAAGATCATTTCTAGAGGGTTAATTATTTATCAATAAACACAAAAAGAATCATCAAATGTATCATATACCAAAATGTTTTGGAAAAGAAATTATATAATAAAGAAAAGGAAGAATTGATTTTAGTTAAGAATATTCTTAAAAATTGTCTCGTATATGCATGAAGAATTTGAAATACTTTAAGTCACTAGATACTTGTTGAATACAAGTGCCGAGATTAATAAAACATGGAAATATAAGAGACCCACATTTTTTTCTTTTCTACTCATATTTTTAAAATAAATCTTCAAAATAGCCATAAATTATATTTATCTAGTTGTTCCCAAACTGTGTGCCACAGAGGCCTGAGGAGCCACGACTTCCTTGCAGGAGTAATGCGAATTATACACAATTTTATTTCCATTTTTCAATTCAGTCTTATAGTACAAACTTCCTCTTTTCCATTAGGTTACGGCAAGAAAACACGATGGCACTTAAAAGAAATTTTCACACTTAAAAACTAAAGAGAAGTGATTGATGCAGTCAAAGCAAAATCATAAAACCAAAATTTTCAGATATACCACCAATCAAAATGTTCTGGAACTATACACATACTTGCTAAAAATAACTATGTATTAAGATACAATAACACGCCGAATAAATACTAATTCAGAAGTCAAACAACAAAAATCAGTGTTATATTTTCAAAATTTTCACAGGACTAATTTTGATGGTTGTACTGAACCATCATCCTCAGCTGCAAAACCGCAAATGAACGGTTCATTTGCCACACCTGCACACCTCTAAAGATAAAAATTCAGAAGAACACGAAAAATTAATATCATGCTTTGATATTAAAAAAATAACAACTTATACAAATAGAAAAAAGAAAATTGTACTTACATTAGTAAATCAAGTCTATCTTCTCCAGAACTGGCAAAGTCTTCAAACTGTGCAGCAGAAAATTGGTTCTGTAGTTCATCTAAAGCATCATTATGGCATTCATTTTCTTTAATTGTTAACAAAAATGGAAATTTATCAATAAAAAAACGAATCTTTTCAAATGATGAATTTTCAATTTGTTTCAAATTTGCCACTTCAGCATTTAAAATAACTTCATTTTTCAAAGGAAACTTCCTTACAATGTAATCATAGGCTGAGGAAAAGTACTTTCTAACACATTGAAAAAATTCTTTTTTCTCATGATCTTTCAAAGAATTTACAAGTTTCCTGGTTTGATTTCCAATTATAAGATCATTGTCCATCCTTTTGATTTGCCAAACTATTATAGGCAATACACGAAAACAACACACTGTTTTTCACAACAGGACGGCTTTTACAAACTTAGTTAAAAGTTCTTTCAAAAGATCATTAAGAATTTAGATAAGCAGGGGAGATTTTGGCGAAGCTGATTGTAGAAGGGTATTTACAACTTTCAAAAATCTTCAATGGTACTTAACACAAAACTACAATATGCTTTGTTCAAATCCGAAGAAAGAAGATAGAAAATCCTTTCCTCTCGGCTAATAGAAGACTGTTTCTTCTTCCCTTCAACTTCTTTAACAAAGTTGACCTTTGAGGAGTCTTCTAAGCATTTTCTTTTTAAAGGGTTTGATTCTGTGTGTTGGCTTTTCCCTTTTAAAGCATTTTGATTAGAAGCAAAGTTGGTTTTCAGAATCTTATATGCCGACAAATTTGATGGGATGTGTGGTTTCGTTTTGGTCTCTTCATGGAAATATTTTAGCAATGCATCCCACTGTTCAATAAACCTTCCTAGCACTCTGCCTAAGGATAACCATCTTGTGCATACATGTTTCAGAATTTTTCTCGTTTCACCGGAGCACAGTTCTTGGAAATTCTTTAGGTTTTCTTTCCTTTTTACACTTTTTTCCAGATAGAAAAACACACCAATCAGAAGCTGGTCAATATTTAATGGTAAAGCAGCTGCAGCTTTTCCTGCTGCCAAATTAATTAAGTGGCATGGGCATCCAATAACAATTAATTCATTTTGTTCTTTTTTGAGGAAAGAGGCTACACCCTTTTTGTCACCCACCATGGCACGAGCATTATCTGCACCAAATGAAATGCAGTTTGATATTGGGATGTTAAGTTGTTTCAACTCATTAATTACCAAGGAGGCAATATTTTTCCCCGTAGCGTCTCCATTTAACAATGGAAGATGCAAAAGATGAGTTTTCATTTCATTAGAAACATCACAGAAATATGTGACAATGATGGGGTAAAGCTTCCAATCGCTGTCATTGCTGCCATCGATTGACACCGAAAATGCTGAATTCTGGAGTGCAGCTATCGTTTTACTTTGTGCATCACAAGCAATTTCGTTCACAATAGAAGATGTTTTCGTGCGAGCACAAGCATATTTCTGAGCAATCTTGGAGTCGGGGAAACATCCGTCTGAAAAGTTGACCGGCGTGATCGGCAGCGCTCGCTTAGTGGCACATTGTGTTCGATGAGGAATGCAGTAAACAAACACTCTGCCAAAATGACATCGGCATCCGAATTCGTAGCCGAATTTGAAAAAAAATCATCCACTTTCTTTGACGTTGTCGAAGCCGAAGCATTAACTTCATGCTTTTAGACTTAACATGCTTCACAATGTCGCTTCTTCCACCGTGACTTATTATGAAGTCACACACGCACACGTTGCAAAATGCATAGTTATGTCCTTTGAAGGATTCTTTAATTGTTCGAAATTTGGCTTTGTAGGCAGGCCGAAAATATTGAGAATACGGTTTTTTTTAACTCATTTCGTAACAACGACGTATTAAGAAAATTCGTAGCATGTGCAAACAAAAAAAAAAGGAAAAAACAGAATGCCACAATCCGCGCTCGCTGAGTAATTCCCTTGCTGCTGAAGCGAACGCGAAAAAAATAATCTGGCGCCCACAAAGAAAAGAGTGGGAGAAACAAGTTCAGCGCATTGGATTGGCTGGTTAAGCAGCGAGTTGGGAGAAACAAGTTCAGCGCATTGGATTGGCTGGTTAAGCAGCGAGTTGGGAGAAACCGCAGGTTACTGGATTCGAAGTAGTCGGTAGTTGGCGGTAAAACACGATGCAATTGACTAAAAATTCTAAAATTTCGACAAAAATCACTAAAAACACTTGAGGAAAAAAATCGTAAAAAATTATTACGATCGTAAAATCGTAAAGACAAACGCATTTTCGTAAAAATTACGAAAAATTCATAAAAGTTGGCAGGTATGCATTTGCAGTCTTGCAGCTGAGGATGGTGGTTCAGTAAAACCATCGAAACTAGTCCTGTGAAAATTTTGAAACCATCGAAACTAGTCCTGTGAAAATTTTGAAAATATAATGCTGATTTTTGTTGTTTGACTTCTGAATTAGTATAACTATGTATGTTAGGCTTTAAAATTTACTTTTCCATTGAGGAGGAGAATTTCATGTTAGAAAAACACGACAGGGCAGGTAGAAGGCAGAATAGAAATAATTTCACCATTGGATGTAAAGGTATAGTTTTATTACACTAACTATACAGCTCAGTTGCAACCTTGAGGGTGAAGACCCTGGGGAATGGATGTAAGATTCTCACACTCCTCTTCCATTATCATCAAACATGTCAAAAAAGACTCACTAGTACTAAAGTGCCCCCATGTCCGGGAAGATGTGCCCTCACAAATATCCATACCTTCTCCAAGATTTGAGGTAAACTATACAGCAGTCAATATAACAAACCACTATACTAATCCAGAATAGCTTGTTTGAAAAGCATTAGTTTAGAAACCCTAGCTCCAGATTACTATCGAAGAAATAACAAAATTTGAAATTTCATAATCTTTAATATGGTCTCTTAAATCATCCAGGTAAATATGACAATTAATTTCATGTTATCTTGCATGTACACTGCGAAAAAAAAAGACAGTTCTACATCTTTTGTTCTACTGGGCCGACTGACAAAATTAAAATTTTATTTGGAATGACCATGAATTTCAAAATGTTAAAGGAAGAATCAAATAAGCTTAATAAAAAAAGAGAGATTGATAAATATATACCAAACTCTCAAAACTATAGTTGAGGAGCTATAGTTTTGAGAGCTAATTTTTTAAAAACGACTCGTGCGATTTTTACAAAACATGGTAGTTTGGCGTAATTTTAGTCATAGAATTTAAATATGGAAAAAAAAATGGTATGTTATTTCAGAAAAAGCCTGATTTTGTTTGAAAATACCTATATTAGAACAATGCTATATATAAATCTAATGCATATCCTAAGTCGCGCTTTCGAGACATGAAAAATGCAGAAAATGAATTTCGTCAATCGGCCCAGTAGAACAGGAGATATAGAACTGCCCCCCCCTTTTTTTCACACAGTGTATGTCTATCATAATGTTGAAATATTCAAAGAAAATGTGATAACTGCTAATTCCAACATGATGTTAGCAAACACACTTGAAGAATGACACAAACTCTAGAAGGTAATGCAAAATATGCACAATCAAATCCCAACAAAGCGGAAAGAAGATCTGGAGTTTTGAAGGGACAAAGATAAGTAAATATGAAGACATGAAGAGTCATTAAAGGATTAACACAAGGAAGCAAATGACAGAACTGTATTCGGAAACATACAGAAGATATCCCGCAAAATAATATCATGAAGCACATTTCATTATATCTTGTGAAAACTTTGAACTTTCTCTACATACATGTATAAACTTCAGAACAGCACTTCATACAATTATCATTTTAGAACAGCAAACAATTGATGAAGTTCTCACATCTCTGACTTTTAATACATTTAAGAATGAGTAATCTTATAACATGGCAGTGTTCAAATCCATCTGTTTTATTAAACCTATAATGAAAGACTTGCTTTCACATTACGTGTAACACTGTTCTTTAAAATCACTTGCTCTGTTTTTTAAAATTACAGAAAAATTTTGCTTATTTGAAAATTAAAAAATAAGCAAACTGCTTCACAAATCACAGCAATAAATGTCATGAATTTTTAAAGATGTAATTTAAAAAATATACCTATGTGGAATTTAAATCTCGACTAAAAAGCAAACTTACATTAATACATATTTGGAATAAAACTACAGTCAAAAGTCGTTAATTCAGACACCCATAATCCAGAATGATCTATAATCCGGACCTCAAAGCTAAAAACTTTCTGCGCATGCACCGCGTTGACACATGCGCATTAGCATTTACGCTTGCACATAAGACCTTCACGACTGTGCATATGCGTGTGCAGAATACGTTTTCGCGTGCGCGTTTTTGTATAACGGACGGTATAAGCTAAAATTATCTAATTATCTATTTCAGTTAATGTTGATGATTGCGTTTTTCATTAATCTTCAAATTGGATCCGGCTTATTATTTTTTGCAGACTGTAAGAGAAATTTTATAAAAGTAAACTTGAACTTTCGATTATGTCAAATAGAATTTCCGATGCTGGAGCTCCCAAAGAATCTACAAAACGAAAGTATGTTTCGATGTCCATCAAACAAAAAGTGGAATTGCTGCAAAAAATGGATAAAGACATGAAGAAGGTGACAGAGAGGTTAGTGAAAACGAAAAAATTTCGATTGACAAGTTAGGCGGTATTCTCGGCACAGCAATTACGTAACTTGAACAACGGAACTTTGTAACTAAACAAGAAATTATGTCTGTTTATAGAATTAAAGAGAAAATATTATCACATAAAATGAAGCAACTTAAACAACTTACATTGAAAGAAATGTTTAATAAAGTAAACAAATAAACATTAAGCTCCCTTTTTTTTTTTTTTTTTTTTTTTTTTTTTTTTTTTTTTTTTTTTTTTTGCAAATTTTGATACCCTTTAGATCATAATTGTTCTTCATTTCATAAATTACGGTTTCATATTTTTTATTTCATAATTTCTGCATGCCATATTACGGGATTTAAACTGATGATCTATAATCCGGAATCACCGAAGTCCCGACGAGTCCGGATTAACGACTTTTGACTGTATATCACTTTCATGGGCTATCAGACACACTTCAGAGGTCTGTCTGCTCTTACTGTACATTTTCAAAGACACTTTACAGGTAAAAAGACAGCACCACCAATAAGATTAATAATGGCCAGAACTTAAAATTAAAGTCTGTCTAAATATATCATACAAGCCTCAACACAAAATATGCATTTTTGATTTTGACAAATTTTAGCATAACAGCACACATTAAAATACATAATGACTTTATTTACAAAATATGTCCACACAATTCAAGAATACAATCTAATTGTATCATCTGAGGTAGAAAACACCCAAGGTCTTTGGGGATGAAAACAACAGTCCAAAGATATCCCCTGTCCCTTTAATATTTTCACAGGAACAATTGTAGGATTTTGTAATAGATCACTGAAAAGAAAGAAAAAAAAATAATACAACAAAATATACTATAATTTCATTGTGGATAATAAATAGAAATAGTCTCTCTCAGATTAAATCAAAGAAAACTGACCGATCCTATTTTACTACATAGTCAACCCCAATTTACCTAGAAGCTTATAATTTTCATGACTCTTAAAACTGCTTATGTTATTAGTGCAACTTATATTAAGCTTTTTAAGAATTTACATGCTCTATTACAAATTTTTGAATCCATTAATACTACAAATCCAGTAAGTTTAAGAAATCTACCTCAGAAAAATTCATGCACAGGTATTAAATAATATTCACACAGACATAAGTTAGTTAGACATAAGTTAGTTACACAAGTATGGCTTGAATTTGACATTAAATTCAAACATGAATGCATATTAAATTACTTGATTCAATCTGTATGTTTACTTCTTTTTAAAGCTAATTTTGAAATTAACTTAGCTCAGTGAAGAAGTGTTCAGTCCAAATCCAAGGCACTGTCTTAGGCCATGCAATGCATATAGCGCATGTCTATAAATTTAAAATTGTGAAACAAGAATGATTTTATATAACTCAATCGTTTAGTAAAATCCTTATTAATTAATTTAAATATACAGCTTTCCATTGAATTGTCCATTTTATTTATTTTAATTAGAAATTTTAGAACAAAACAAGCTGGGCATTATATTTTTGTCACTTAAAAAAATGAAAAAATGCTAGCCAGACATCTTGCAAAATTTGTGCTACATATGAAGAAAGAGCTGTTTCTGATGACACAATTTCAAGTAGTTTCAGAAGCCTAAGAATGGAAATTTCAGCCTCAAAGGTGATGCACACTGTGGATAACCATCCTCAGTAAACAAGGAGCTATTAAAAGAAGCTATCACTGAAAATCATGTTACACAGTTAAGGAACTATCAGACATACCAAATATTTCAAAAAGTACAGTATGCGACCATTTGAAGAAGAGTGGGTATATAAACTGCTATGATGTATAAATACCCCACACAAAGCAAAATATGCTATACAATAATGTTAAGAGAAAATGATCACGGGGTAAGATAACAGAACCTCCTTTAGCAACACAGAGAGGGAATCTGCATCTCAAAAAAAGTAATGTGTTGAGTATAGTGAGACTACAAAGGTTAAGTTGAGCTATTTAAATACGGCAAAACATACAAGGGCTGTCTAAGGGAAAAGATACCTTTGTGGAGACATTCTAAAAGAACTGGCTTGTTTGCTTTTACATTACATATGGGAGAAATCACAAAAACCAATCATGCAGCTATCCCCTGGATTCGAACTATCAATATTCAGAAATCTTTAACTGCTCAACCACTAGTAGGCTTAGGGCTGCACAGGAATCGTATACTGCTGCCAGCAAATTAGATAATAAATTCGAAAAAAACACAGTTTCCCAAAAGTCATAGAATAAAATGATGTGTTTGATGTTATGCAAATTGTATTTCTGTCTTTGTAATGAGGAACAATGCAGATGCAAATTTGTTAGGGTTTTTAAGTTTGCGCATGGAGCTTTTAGATTGCTGGGAATTAATGGCGATCTAACATTGCAGAAGTTCTTAGATGCGCATCTGAATACTTTTTGCTTGCAAAGAAATGGGAAATAAATCCAGAAACTCTGTATATTTTGAACACTACATAGGAATTTAGTTTTATTCAAATCTGATATTTCTGGGTGGTTTAATGCTTTTATTTCTTAAAGGAAATTTCAGATTATTCAGTTAGTAGTTGAATGTCCTTACCTTCTTGACTGGCCCAAAAATACAATAACTGTCATAAATATAGAATTAGTAATCTCCTAGAGCACTTTCAACATATCAGGCTCATATATGTGTACATGTATGCTATGTAAGCACTTTTCACTCTTGCAGAACATATTCAAATTCCAAGATCTTAAATGTATGTCAAAATAGGGCTAATATTATATAGATATAAAAAAAAGAAATCCATGAAAAAATTAGCCAAAGGCTTCTGTGGAAAACACAGTCATAAAGCTTATATTTCTCCTTTCTGAATTAAACAACTGGCATTATTTTCAGACATTGTCTCACTCATAGCACCTCCATAAACATTCAAACTTAGCTACCGAATCAAATGATTTGGTAGAAGATTTCCATTGGATACTTTTTTGGGGGGTGAGGGATAAATTTAAAAAGCTGAGTGATAAAACATAATTCATATGCAGCAGGAACACCAAATAAAATAAAATGACATGTACAACAAAATGAAATGAGTTGAAAGTTATAAGAATTGTCTAGCTCTATAATAATGCAATTGATGACTCAAGCATGAGAACTGTGTGAACGGTCCTTACTTCAAATACCACCTTCAGAAAGGTTTTAACTTGATGAACAGTCACCAATAAGGCTATAGAAGATCTAATCTGGGTGTGCTATGGAAGAGTAACTAAGTGATTCATTTTTTCTTTCCTTCTTCTCACTCCTTTATGTGGATATGTAAGGACAGTGTTAAAACTCTCTCATATTGACTAATTATTAAACCTTTCCTTAACATATATTGTGAAAAATCTAATTAATCTTGTTCTGTGTCAAACATCTGTTATGTGTCAAATAAATGTGTTTTGTTTACAACCTCCTTTTGAATTATTCATGACTGTGATAACACTCAGCACTATCGAGGAGACAAGGTAAGGAAATTTTTTCTTTTCCTTACTTTGGTAATTTGTTTTAGAAATATTTACAACAATAACTTACCTATAGACCATACCATGACAAACAATAAGCGACCCATCATCAGATGTAGAAGCAAACAATGGATACCTCTTATGGAAAGCTACTTGACGCACTGCTTTAGCATGGTGCCTGTAAAATAAGAGAATTTCCACTGTAAATGTCATGATATAATTCAACTAAATTACAAAGGATACTAAAATTCATTTATATAACAAGTAACAAAATAGCCACGGATATGGAAAGTGAAATTCAAAGACTATCTTTTGGTCTTTTACATCCAGGTAAAACTAATTCAAAGGACTTTCTTTCTCTCTTTCAGTGCAGATTTAGTTCTCAAAAACTTTGTTAATAGAAACTTAATACTGTTGACAAATGCCACACATATCTAACACTGCTAAAAGATACATTTGTAGACATTTTTTAATATATCACAAATATTGAACATGCTTAATGCAGATAAATTACTTGATTTCTTATTCAAATGAACTGAAGTTTAAATTAATTGCAGTAATAATATGAGGGCAATTCAGAAACTAACCTCCATTGTGGCATGACACAAGTAGTAGTGGGCAGAAAGCAACCATCGCTACATCAAGCAATCTGTGATTCAATAAACTTCCTACTATCCTAGTGAGAGTGTCATGTTGCTGCAGATGTGCTGGTTAGTGAGAGTGTCAATGTCCAGATGCTGCAGATGTGTCCATTTAAAATCCCACTAAATGTGAGGTAAGAGGAGTAATACGATTTCTATGAGCAAATAAACTGTCAGCAGCAAACATTTATTGTGAACTGTGTTGTATACAGCCTACACATTATTATGAGTAAAGGTGCAATGCATCAGTGAATGAGATTTTTCAAGGGAAGAACAAACATTCATGATGAATCAGAGGCCGTCTGTAATGAGTGATGACCTTGTCAAACAAGTTGACGACAAAATCCATCAGATCTGTCAATTCAATCTCAGAACTTTCACAATTTCCGAATATTTTATATGAGGTAGTCATATGAAAACTAGGATACCAGAAATTCTGTGTCTTAGACTTTCTTATCCTGTACCTCATGGAAGGGGAGGAGATTTGAACAGAATAATGACTGTTGATGAAACTTGGGTAGTGCATATAAATGCTGAGACAAAACACTAGTCATTAGCATGGGGTCACATCGGTTCCCCAACCCAGCTGAGGAAATCCTGTTGAACTTGTCAGTGAGGAAGGTTATTGCCACCATGTTTTGAAATGCTAATGGAATCTTGCTTATCGAATTCGTTGAACATATTATGGCAATCAATTCTGAAGTATACTGTAGCACTTTGAGAAAACTGAAAAAAGCCAAACAAAACAAACCTCACGGTCTGCTTGCATCTGCGGTTGTGTTCCTGCAATGCTCACATTCACAATGCTCACTGAACACAAGATCTTTTGCGCTAATTCAAATGGGACACCTTTCAACATTCCTCCTACAGCCTGCATTTGGCTCCTTCTGATTATGATCTGTTCCCTGCAATGAAGAAGTGGCTTGAGACACAGCACTTTGCTAACAATGAGGAGCTTCAAACCATTGTGAGAAGTTGATTGAAGTTACAGGGGGCTGAGTATGCAGAAAGGATTGGTAAGTCGGTAAAATGCTATGACAAGTGGTTGAATATACATGGTGACTATGTTGAAAAACAGAGGACAGCTGTACCTTTCAGATGGAAATAAAATATTTGTTCAGTCTATGTGAGTTTATTTATTTACAGCGAAACAGAGGTTAGTTTCCAAATTGCCCTCGTACATAATATCTGCCAATTTAGGAACACAAGTACCAATAAAATTAATGAGGAATACAGCAACTGTAACTTACTTTTAACCAAATTTTGCCTTAAGAAACATTTTACATTATATATTCAAAAATACATAACAAAAAGTCCATCAATATATAAATTTTGATCAATTTCTAAATATTTAATGCCTGCTGTTTTCACAAAATCATCACCTTTGTTATTAATATAAATTTCATATTAACATTGTTCATTGAAACAGAAACAGCTTTCTTGTTTTGAGAAGAACTGAACTGTTGACAATGTGGTCTTAAATTACAATCTACTTATTCTTTTAAAGTTTGAAGATCAAAATTCCTTTATTCAACATTTCATTGATTCATGATATACATGACCTTTAACACACACACCTCAGTCTCATATCTATAACCTACATGATTTGCCTCCAATGTTTTCAAACTGCCATAAATATCCAAATTTTTTATTTTTCATTTTTTTTAATCTACATCTAAGTGGACTTGCATAATTCAAACCCACAACTTCAATAATTAAATTTTTTTCAGCTGTTCCTCTTTCTCACAGTCACTAAATTAAAAATTTTATATAATTAATGATATTATATATACAGTCTATTAAGCACAGACTAAGTAGTTTCATTTTAAAAAATTCACTAAGAATCTATAACGCAAAAGAGACTTTTTTTTTTTTAGAGTATTGCAATAATATTTCTTTAAAAAGCATCTATGTTTTACCTGAGCATTTTGTAAGGCTTACTGGAAAGCTCTAAATCAAACCAGCTTACTTTGCTGTCATAACTTCCAATAATTATATTATCCCCTGCAATTAAAAAATCAAAATTTAAATTTCTGAAAGCAATTTACAACAAGTTGCAAATTATTTTCATACATTAATAATCCTGCCATTATCGGCTAGCAATAAAGCAGACTTATCTGTTTAAATATAGCATCATGCAGCATTCAAATAATTACATGAAAAAATATTTTGTAAAACAGGTTATATATAGTACAAGTAAAGATATTAAATAAAAAAAAATAGTTTGTAGAATTGAACATAATGTAATTAATAGAATTTTTTTAAAAAAAGATTGAAATCAACAAAAACGATGGTTTGAAAATCATATTAACACATATATATCACGCATTCTGTTACTTAAAAAGGAAGCAGAAATTCATGAACAAATATATACGATTATTTCCTACTGATGAAAATATTAGCAAGGATATTTTTTGATATTGAAGAGGAAAACTGCTCACTTGGGAATTTAACTACTTTTGAAGAGGAAGTAAAAATTTAATAATTATGCAACTAGTTACTATATACCAAAAAGCTAGCTGATTTGAATCTTACAATTTATAATTCTTAATAATATAATTTTTCATTTCTGAATTAAACTTTTCCTTTAAATTTCAGTTTTTAACCCCCTTAACAAATAATTCCTGTTCAATTTAAGTGGATATTCATTCTCTATATGTATGTGGCTTTTCAATCTTAACCTTTTAACCAGGGAATAAAATTTTGTGAAACTCATTTCACACTCATTTCCTCTTAAGCAATCTGGCATACTTTTAAACAAATAACTTTTAGCCGTATTTTGAAGAAAATAACAATTACTGAAAGCACTAATATGCAATATACTGAGATGCAGACAACTAAAATGAAGTCAAATTGCACAAATTTGCTTCACAATGTATATGCGGACAAGAACGTGCTCAATAGCGCTCAAATGTCAGACTGCAAAAATATGACTGTACTTGTACATGACTCACAGTGGCGTAGCTAGGGTGGGACAAGGGAAGACACCTGTCCCCGAATGCAGCGTCCAAAGGACGCCAAATTGATGCTACGAAATTTTACAATGAAATATTTTCCATTCTTGCCACACAGAAGGGAGCACAAAATCTTCAGTTGTACCAAGGTGCTGAAAGCTCTAGATACGGCTCTGATGACTCATCAACATTATGCCATAAATTCTCTTAAAAGTAACTTTTGATATACATAGTCAAATGGATTTTGACAGGAACTACAAATGCATAATAAACAAAAACGAAAGCTACAAAATTCTAAAATTTAAACACAATAATGTAAATCTGTTTTTACACAAATTAAAGATAATAATTATTCTAACCAATTTCAAGGTTTTTGATTATATAACTTACATTCATAAATCACAACAAAATAAGTTTGCCAAAATACAAGACCACAGCAAGCAATTTCAATTAATTGAATTTTACAAAATGTTTTAAACATCTATGCTTAATTTCTGCTTAGTTTATGTAACCCAAGAACTATTTACAATACAAACAATAATCCCAGTGTTACAAACCTTGTGGATGTACAGCAATGCTGGAAATCCATTTACAATTACTTTGTAACAGTTTAGACATTTCTTGTTTCAGAAGATTATACACTCGAATATGTTTCTGTGTAGCAATAAAAAAGAAGGGACGCAGTGGATGAAATAAAATACACTGTACACTTCCTTTAGACTTCTCAAATGGCATCTGAAATAAAATCCAATATATAAACAGAACACTAATTCACACAGTTTATACATTTTATAGAAAAATTAAACAACAAATCCAGATGCAGTAGAACCTGTCTTTAAGTCTTGCTCGTATCTCTCAAATTGAATTCATTAAATGTCATTCCACTAGATGACAAACTTGCAAAATTTAATGCCTACAGGCAACACCAAACAACAGTTTCTATGAAAAACATTTAACTGTATTTACATGATTACCTGCAGCACCTGACATATTAAATATATAGGACAAACTAGATACAAGAAAAGAAAGAAATTTAGAACCAGTTTTTCACAAAGACCAAAAATTGAAATTCATAAACAGAAACTGATTGAATTCCTCTTCTTTTATTTTCTTTTTTGTTCATTAATTTTTTTAATTTGGGTTTTACTTGTTTGAAGAATTTTAGTTTTAACATTTGTTAAATTCTTTTTTTGTAAATTTATAGAATTTTTTTAAATTTACTGCTTATGAATGTCAATTTTTGGTCTTTGTGCAGAAAGTGTCGCCGTTTTTTTCTCAAAGCTGGTCGGAGATTGTGCTCCAAAAATGAGCAGTAATACTGTGCAGTGACGGTCTGCTGTGGGGGAATGGTATGCGTTAGGATGACACCATCACAGTCGTACACGAGAATCACCATAACTTTCACATTGCTGGGGTTCTGACGAAATTTCGAACGTCGTGGTGACCTGTGATGATGCCATTCGTTTGATTGGCATTTCAGTTCTGGCTGGTACAATCGGGCCCAAGTCTCATCCAGCGTAATAATACGCCGTAAAAAAGCATCATAGCGCTCCAGGTGGGTTCAGGCAGCATCGTATCGTAGCCATTTCTGCATTTCCATCAATTGATGTGGAACCCATCATGAAGCAGTTTTTCTCATGGACAGGCCCTTCAGAATGTGCAGCACAGTCTGCGCTAATCCTGTTTGTCCGGCCAGCTGACGAATCGTTTGGCGGCGATCCAAATCCATTATTGTCAGCTTGCACGTCTGCATCGCTGACACTCGGACGACCTGGCCGCAGCATGTCTGCCACGTTTTGGCGTCCTTCATTGAATGCTTTCACACATCTTGATACGGTTCTGTAAGGCAATGCAGATTCCCCGCAAGCCTCTTGAAGCCCTTAATGACACTGTCATGCTGTACGGCCTCTGGCACATTCAATTTTTATCCACCATCGTTGTTCTTGTTTTAAAACATCCTGACAACACTTACTTTAGACCGCGAGCTAATACATGGATTCGTTCTTCGCGTCACTCCGCATGCGCTTGACGTAGGCAGGACGAGTCTTTTTGCTGAGAGGTAAGATAGGTATGTAGTTCACGTTTGGTATACGCGATATTCTTTGGTTTTGTTGCATAGCATTTCTTCAGCTGTGTTGCCACTATTAAAATTCCAACCCTCGTATGTGGAAAAAGACAATTATTCCTAATTTTGAATTAAGCGAATATTTCTTTTTAGAAATTCTTCATGAAACAAATTTTTATGGTATACAAATTTAATAAATTTAAAAGTCATACCACTACACTACCAAAGATACAACAATTTATAAAATTTTGCAAGCAACTGATGAGAAAGTTAATAGTAAAAACCAAAGCTTCAAGAAAACACAAAATGGCAAAGCACTGCAAATATGGGGGGGGGGAGAAAGAAAAAAAAAACCAATGAATAACAATTTTGTAGGAAAAAAGAAAGCAAATTTATTAGATGCTTTGTCTATTTACAATTCCTTTATTGCAATTTATTCAGTATAATTCAGAAATATAACTCTGTTGATAACTAAATTATCAACCTTTGTTATTTAATTGCTTAGTTTAGCTTTTATTTTAATTTAAAATAAATTTCAAGACTGATTTACAAGTTTATGCTTCACATTGTCTGATTTGTGCTTTTTTCATGTCAGGTAGATGTTACTTTTCTTTACGATAGACTTTTATTCTGTTTTCATTCTAATTTTATACTATTTTCATAACATTAATAGTTTTTAATTAAATATTTTTCAACTATTAACTCTCTTTCTGTGAAGTAAATTACATCCCTTCAGTTCTTTGTTTTCATGAAAAAATTTGTTGCATTGAAATCCTTTATGTCTTATCAACCTAGCAGCTGGCCAGATAGAAAAGGCACACTGAACCATGGTATCCCGGTTGCTTGCAAGCAAGTGAAGATCCACATTCCATGGAAATTTCATAAAGTAAAGACAAATTCAATTAAAAAGCCTACACCTTCCAAAATGATATATGGACCCACATATACTTTCGGATGAACTACAGAGTATAGAGAAGGAGGTGAAGCTGCATAGTAACAACAAGATTTTGGCATTCCCTGCTCTGTGAACATAATCACACTATATAGGTCCCCCGACTCCTTAGAACCAGGCGCAGAGGTTCAACCTCCACTCTGGCCCCTCACAGAGGGAGGCGCACCGCCCAGGAAGTTTCCCGGACGGCACTGGTCGTTATTTGCTATCTACCAGTAGCACCTACCAGTAGCTACTACCAATAGTCGCTCGGGCTGCCCGTCACAGCGGGACATTACCCTACGAACCCGGGGGATAATCCCCGGGCTACTAGCACCACATCGCGCTAGGACGTGCCAGACCCCGAGGCCAGCCAATAAGTGACCTTTCCCAGGGCCTTCAGAACCACCAAGTCATAAATTTTATACCCCCGTGGCCGAGACTGCCTAGGTACAGATCCTAGACAGTAGCTTCACAGAGTTCTCTACGTCGACCCCCGAAACTTATCCAAAAAATGTCATGACTACTAGATGGCAGAACAGTTCTTTAACCATCCCAAGTGTTAAAATTTATATGGATTGCAAGAAAGCAATGGAGGAGGAGAGTTAGTTTAGTTTACGTGATTATGGCAAAGTCTTGAGGGCTATATGCCTAAGGGGAAGAATGCCTTCATGGAGCACTTTCTAAGGAAAGCAACTGGCTCGTATACATGTTAGACATGGGGAAAACCATGAAAATGCTCATACAGCCAGCCTATTCAAATTTTTAAATGTAATGTACAGGATTTATGGTTAGGGGATTATAGTTCTTTACATGAATAATTTAGTTTCACGTAGAAGTCTTTTTCCAGTTCCTCCCCTAGCAAAAGAATCATATTACTATTAATAATATTAAACGTAGTTAAATTGAATTTGCTTTTTCTGTCTCTCATGTTTTAAAATCCTAATATAGTTTGATAAAAAGTTTATTAAAACTTTGAATTAAAAGGTCAACTGTCTTTCCATTAAAAACTTGAAATTAGCTGCATTATTAGACCAGAATTTTCCTTATCAAAGATTTAACAAGAAATATTTTCAAGTAAATAGTTTTCCTTGCAACTGGATAAATAATTAAGAGAGACTAATAATTAATATCCAGTACAAAAATAAGAAATATAATAATTCAAAACTATTTTCAATCTAAAGAAGCCTTTTCAAATATCTCAAAAAAAAAAAAAAAAAAGAGGGGAGGGGGTGGAAAGAAAGAGAATAACATTTTAAAAAAATAAAAAAAATCACCTGTGATCTAAATTTTGACAGCTGATGTATGATGATAGATTTGCATCCAATATCTGTTGTTAAGGCAGCAAAATAATCTCCTTTAGCATGCCACATGGTTTTTTTAATTTCTTTTGTATGAGTTATAATTAATCTTATTCCAGAGGCTTTTTGTTCTTCAGTTGGTAATGACCACAAAGCATCTAAAAGCGGAGGAAAAAAGTAAAGTGCTTCAAAACTGCAAAATTCATTAAATACTGAAGTAACACATTCATTTCTAAAAAATAAACCTTTAAGTTTACATAAGACATATATTAGGAAAAGACACAATAATCTTTATTAAAACTTATAGCGCTATGCTGTAAGTCTTCATACATTAAGCTATGATCCCCAACATATTAAGCACACTACCATGGCAAAATTAGATTAAGAGCATTGGATTTCAAATACCATGCAATATGCTGCTTTAAAGAAGATTTTCTTTACATAAGATATAAGCTTGTTAATATCAGGCTAATTTGCATGGATTTCTTCACCAAACAATGTAACAATGAGCAAGACAAGTAACATACACTAGCTTGGGATAAAATCCCTTTATTGATTTTCCTGCTTTACCCATGTATAGTGCAGCAACTCTTAAAAAGAGCAACACATCACTGTTTTTATACGTAATTAAGCCATAAAATATTTAGTAATTTTTCAAACAACTCACATATTGCTGAGTGGTTTATTTTTTTCAAGTTCAAATTAAATAAAAATATCTTACCAGCTAAATTTGGTTCCAGATCAGCATCAATAGTTTAATCAATGCCTTGACGCATGCGCGTAATATCTTTACGCATGGGCATAATACGTTTACGCATGCGCGTTTAATGTATAACGGATGGTATAAGCTAAGCTAAAATGATCTAATTATCTATTTCAGTTAATGTTGCAGATTGCGTTGTTCCTTAATCTTTGAATTGGATCCGGCTTATTATTTTTTGCGGACTGTTAGAGCAATTTTATAAAAAGTAAGCTTGACCCGCTCATTTGTGCTTATCTTAACAGTTCCATATGCTGCATAACAGTCCCATATGCTGCTTCCCCTGCAGCTTTTATTTACATAGTTTTAAAAAAAATTCCAACACATTTTCTCCAAACTCAATTACAATCTTGCATAAGAGTCACGGTTTAGAATCATTTCGGACATCTACAAAATACAGAATTACTTTCCTATCTAGACTGCAAATAATGATTTTCTGTTTACTTTCCAGGAAAAAATTCCTGCCTGAAAAGATATGGAAAAGTTTTGCCAAATGAACCAGCACTGTTGAAAACATATTGCACACAGCTATAAGTATGTAATTCCACGAATTTATCTGTCTTTGAAATAGCTTTTTCCCTTCTCCATGTAATCCTATGAAACTCGATATGCAAATAATAATAATAAATAATAATAATAATAATAATAATTTTTTTTTTTATAAAGAGCTAAGAAATAATGGAACAAAAAATTCTTAGAAGTGATACTCATACCTTGTGAAAAAAGCTACCATGATGGATAGGACTAACAGATTACATAATCAGTTTTCTGTGGATAGGACATGCCTGTTTAGTAAAAATGAGTTTGTAGGGGTTGAGCCAGTATTATTTCAATGGTAAATTTATTTTTCAATTTGATTACCAGAATATGCCTGAAAATGCTCTGAACACCCCCAAAATGCTCCAAAGCAGTGATTTTCAACCAGTGGTACGCAAGGTGGTACACAAAGAAACAATGTTTTTTTAACTATTAAATTCAAAAACTAAATATCCCAACATCCTGTTTACGTTTTTTCTCTAACACTTGTAAACTTATGCCATCTCAGCTTTAGGGTCAATAGCTGCTCACAGACTTTAGCAAAATAATCCATTTTTTTTTTCGCAAATATTCTTTGAGCCATAGACAAAACAAAATTTGTCATAAATAGTGTTTCTAAAAGATGTAACAGAAATGGATGTTGTATTTAATAAGAAATAAGTTCCTATAAAAAGATAGCCCACCAGCGGCCGAGCGGTAAAGTCGCTGAACACTGGTAGTTCGGTCCAAGGTTCGAATCCCGCGAACGGGCTGGCTGCATGGGTGTTTTCGTGGTTTTCCCCATGTGTAACGTGTATACGAGCCAGTTTCCCTTAGAAAGTCCTCCATGACGGCATCCCCCCCTTAGGCAGATAGCCCTAGTGTGCTTTGCCATAATTAAATACACCACACCTATAAAAAGATAACAATATCTAATTAATTCTTTTAGTTAGTTGATTTATTAGGATGTCTACACTTTATGTATCCACCATTTACAGGATCATATTGCTTTGTTTTCAATTAGAATAAATTTTTTTTTACAGCAATTTGTTGTCTCTAACAGCACATATTTTGTCTTCTTGTTACTTTGTACTCCTTATCTTTCTATGCAATTTCAGAATATCACCATCTGTTTTTGCAGAACTCCTAATATATTGTGCATTTAAATATTTGTGAAAAAATAATAAAACAAAAGTAGCATTAAGATTATTGAAAAGAAAAATTGTTTATAAAAAATATATTGAAAGTTATTTATCATTTAGGTTTACTTGGAAATGAAATGGCCCCTCAATCTCATTGTGTTGTTTGTGGTGAACCTTATCCAATCAAAGTGCGAAACCATTGTGTCTTAAAAGACATCTTGAATCTAAGCATGCCAATTTATAGGATAAATCTGAAGAATATTTTAAGAGGAAATAATGTTTCTAAAAAAAACATATTGCAGTTCAAAAATAGTAAAGCTAATGATATTTTTAAATTATTCAATGAAAAAGCGGCTAATGAGCTTAAAAATATTCCATTATCAAATGATTAGTAAGTTGACAAATTCATAAAATGGTAAATTCCATAAAACAGACACATACTGAAAAAATAAAATACAATGAGTATTTTTCATTGCAGTTGGATGAAAGTAAGATATAACGAACTTTGTTCAATTATTAGTACATACGTTTAGTATTACATACGTTTTGAAGAAGATAAACGAATTGCCAAAGAGTTTTTGTGAATTTTGTGTGTGTAAAATATTTGTCAATCTCTTCATGACAGAGCAACTGCAAATGAAATTTTCAAAGTAATTGACAATTTTATGTCTGAAAATGATACTCCTTGAAATACGTACATTGCTGCATGCAGTGATGGAGCTCTGGTTTTAACAAGAAAACGTTCCAGTGTTATTTCTCAAATAAAGAATGTCGCACCTGAAACTAAATTTACTCACTGCTCCACTCATCATGAGGTTTTAGTAGCCAAAACAATTCCCAAAAGCCTGAAAATTGTTTTGAATCAAGCTGTGAAAATTGCCAATTTTATTAAAAACTGAGCTTGAAATTTAAGAATGTTTACGATTTTATGCCAACAGATGGGCAGTGAACATGAAATGCTTTTGTTACATTCCGAAATAAGGTAGTTATCCGGAGGCAAAGTTTTAAATCAGAGGCAAAGTTTATATTAAAAGTTTTTTTATACTTTGATCAGAAATTCAAATTTCCCCGTGATTCAAAATTTGAATTGCAAAAATGTTTATTTAGTGAATTATGGTTGGCACATTTAGAATATTTAGCTGACATTTTGGGAATGTTAAATGAATTAAGGATTACAAGGATAATTTGTTTACCATTAGAGATAAAATAAATGCAATGGTAAAAAAACTCGAGCTAATAATCAAATAATTGTATAATAATATAGTTTTTTTTTATCACTTTTAGAAAGTTTTCTAACCAAATATAATTTGAAAATAAAAGAAGAATTAGTATCTGACATTAAAAATCGTTGCTTTTCATTGATAAATAATTTCAGCATGTATTATCCCGAGGATTATGAAAAAGAAAATTGGATTAGAAATCCATTTTGTTCAAATGTAACTGAAATTTTATCTCATGAAGAAAAAGAACAATTAACAGAAATTTCCTGTGCTCGTAACTAAAGATTTTCAAAATAAGATTATTAACTTTTGGCAGAACCAGAAAAAAAAATTTAAAGGCATTTCAAATAAAGCTATTATTTTTTTATTACCTTTTTGCACAACCTATTTGTATGAACAATTTATGGTTTAACCATAAATTAGGATCCACTTTTAATTTTGTGTGATTAAGTTTTAATTTTGTGTAATTAAGTGAAATAAGATCAAATATACAGAAACTAATGTCTCTTAAAGATGCAAAAATTTCACACTCAATTTTAGAATTAAAGTATTACAACTTATATTTTAATAATTAGAATGGTAACCAATTTTTAATCTAATATTTTTTATGTGTGTATATTTGATACAAGTAGCCAACAGGTTTCGCAGATGGCAAAATATATTTTTTTTAATATTTCTATTGAGAAATTGAAAAAAATAATCATTGTAAAATGTAGTGGTGGTACTAGACTTTTCCAATTTTTGTTTAGATAGTACACGTTAGTTAAAAGGTTGAGAACTGCTGCTGTAAAGTACTTTAATAGAAGAAATACTCAATAAATGCATATGTTATCATATGTGGGCCTTGTGAAACCTTTGGTGGTAACTTTCTCATATTTCTGTCTCACAGTTTTACAACATTGATGTGTATATTTATTAACTCAAGACGTTTATTAAAATACATAGAAATAATTGCTAATTGCTGATAATTCTACAACTATTGCATGCAGATTAACTAAAGGAATAAAAACTTTAAGCGGAAGATAAGAACAGCATAATTCAACCATTTTAAAGCAAAAAACGCACAATTTACCAACATATAAGAATAATAAAAAAAAATAAATAAAAAAAAAAAAAAAAAAACTGAGCTCACTAAGCTAAGATTGTGTATATATATTTATATACTTTTGGTGAGGCTGATTACAAGCAAAAAAGAGAGGTGCTTAACTAAATGTCATAACAGTCCAATATACAAAATTTCAAACATTCTGAGGATACTTGTTTTTAATTATACAAGATACATACAACACCACGGGAAAAATCTCTTCTGAATCCATTTTAAATCAGTTTTATAATTCATTTGGAGAAAAAGAGTCCTTTATTCTGTCCTTACATATAGATGTTATGCAAAAACATCGCTAAATTGCATTCAATAGCGATCAAAGTGGATATTTTCGTTGGAATATGGTTTCCGCAATTTTTAGTGATTACAATACTTCCTTTACTTCATACAAGGAAGTAAAAAGGCAGCTGAATAACAACTGCCAATAAATAAACTGTCATTTATATTCTCTGTGTGATTCTTTGTTAAAATATATCTATCATCTTTGTTATGTATTTGAAAAAAGGTCAAAAAGCTGAAAGTGTACTGCAGCCCCTTAAAAATATATTTCAATTTTAGATAGATATATGATGCCAATAAAGAAATAAATAATTTACATATTCTGTCCATAGTATTGAAAATGATGCTACACTCACTTGCAAGAACACCATTTACAGAGAAAGCATATAATCATTAAAATGAGATTAAAAATACAAGTATTACAAAATATTAATGATTTGAATAAATATAAATCTAATTAAAATTTATTTAAAGGTATTTTAATTAATAGATATTAAATTTACTTTAGAAAACATTATTAATAATTAAGCCATTATTCATAAAATAGTATTCACCTTTAACTTCTGGATTTTCAGGAGCTGTAGTTAGAAGTGCATCAGTATTACTAATTATAACTTTGTCACCCACTTTAGGATTAACAATGTATAATTTCTCATTACTACAAATAAAAAATTTAAAATAAGTACAAGAAATTTTGTACAAAATCAATAAAAAATAAAACTATTTTTAAAAGAAATCATAAAACTCAATAACAAATTTAACACTCTGAATGTTTATATACAGATTTAAATGATTTCAAATGCAATATAACATCTAACATTAAAAGCATCAACAAGTCATTAAATAAAAATTTGTCCATTTTAGCTTTTAAGGAGGGGATATTAATTTCTGATATATACTCATGGTTCTTCTCATTAATTTAACAAACAGAAACAAATTCATACAATTACTATATAATAATACAGGAGATATAGATTTCTGATATATACCTCATAAGATATAAATAAGCCCTTGATTCTCTAATAAATAAACACATGAAACTCGATATGGTATGAATTATATGGGAATGAGAATGGCAGAATTAAAAAGTAAAGAATAAATCCAATTTTAGATACACATTTTTGGGACTTGGTGATAAGATTAAACAAAATTAAATAAAGATTAGATGAAGTTGGATAAATTATTTATTGTTTTATTTTATGACATAACTCAGTGTAACAATGAGCAGTTAACAAAATCATGAAACTTATCAAAAACTTCTGTGTATGTGTTTGTACAAATATTGTTAAAATTAATAAACATTGATCAAGTGAGTGCATCCATGCCACACATATTTTTTTTTTCTATCTTTGCCTTTTTTTAATATAAGATTAATCTTTCCACCTTAATAAAAAATGCTGTAACCCAAAGAGAAATTCTTAAATAAACTTACTGCTAGAAATTGGCAAGGTACTAGGTAATTTAACAAATGTAAATAAGGTTAGCTGATAATGACTAAATTTATTATTATGACCTTAAACATTCCTGATTTGTCTCAGTCAATAAAAACTGGATAATTTAAACTACCCCAAGAAGACCTGATACATCAATTCCAGCTGTTATTTCAGGAACAAGAAATCAAGAATTCAAAGTTCTCATTGTTCTGACAATCTTTCATGAGTTTTTTCTTTTGAAAGACATGACAATTGTGCATCTATGAGATCAGCATTAACTTCAGGGAAGAATACTAAGAATTTCCTAGATCATCTCCCAAATATATAGCTGATTAGATTCACAGCACTGAGAGTAAAAGCAGTAGAAGATTTATTTTTTTCAGGAGTCAGAAAAGTAATTAGTCTGCTTAGAATCTCCTCATGCGGATAATGTAAAAACCAGTCCACTTTACAGAAATACTAGTTGGCATAAGAAAATATTTGGCCTGAAAAGTGCAGAAAGAAGCCTTATTGTATTTATAAATAAATAAATAAAATAAAAATGGAATGAAAAGATAACATGCCTTATTGCATCTCGGGGGGGGGGGAAGCATATAAAAATAAAAGTGAAAATAATCCTCAAAAAGAAAATAAAACAGCATATAAAAGTTCAGAAGCATGAAATACAGCGCTGTGTAGAATACGAATTCAGATGTTTTAGATTCAAATAAAACGGAAATAGCAGAAAGACTTAAAAAGTCATTTCAGTCTGATCCTAGCAGAAACATTTATTTCACGTTTCCACAAAAAATTACACATTGAAGAAATTTAATATATATGTTACACTATAATTTATAAAATTTACACTACAGCCATTAATTTTTAAAATACATAATTTACAAAACTTACACAGCAACAAGGATTAATGATAGGGCTGGATTAGGACACCAATCTAAGCTTTTAACTGGACCACCAACATTTATTGTTGATAAGCACCTTCCAGTTAATACTTCCCATACTTTAATAGTATTATCATCAGAACCTATATAATACAGATATCATACTTATGTCATTAAAAATAAATAGTGACACAAAAATAATCCAAGAACTAGAAATAAAAGAATGTAACTATCCTTAACCCCTTCGCGCCGGGTAGCGCAAACGCGTGCTTATAGAGGAGGCCGGCAGTGTCTTACGTGAGCATCTGTCCAGGGCCAGGGCTTTTTTGCTATTAAGCCTAAATCCATGAAATTTCCGAAGTATCAACGCATTGTTTAATAATGCTCGATAGAGTATTTAAACGGCTTATGCTTTATAGATATTTATATATATATACTTTAATTACCTTATTTCTTGTTTAAATGCATATTTTACACATTTTATTTTCATTACTCACCATTTTATGACTTTGAATATTATACATCTGAAAACTAAATATATTACTTAAAATTCTCTTTTCGTATGAAAAATTTGAAAATAGGGATCTACACACAGTCCTACGTTACATTCCTTGCACTCATAATAACTCATTTGCTGTTTTGGAGGATTTTTCCGGGAATGTGAACAAACGAAGCATCGTCATCTCATTTTCTTATCAGTCTCTTCTGAACAAAGTTTTGGAAAATGTGATAGTGATACTATGTAACGTAGTATCCTAGTAATACTACGTTACATAGTATGACTATCACTACTATCAGAATTGTTTCAGAATCAATATCTGAAATATTTTGCATCACTTCTGCTATTTCATGCTCTGTTAAACATTTTCGACGCTTCGACACTGCAACAGTAAAAACAGAAAGAATTCACGTCTAACAAGATCTAATTATTTTCTAAATACTGAACTGCAAACTGAAATACGCTTTATAAAAAATAAAACTTCTCTACTTACATTAAACAACTACCACGTGCGAATTTAAACAGATGTCATAAAGCACGCCATTCGGAAAGATTTATCGCCCCTTTTGTTTATATAATCAAAAACACGTGTATGTGAGTCATGCTTCTCTCATTTCGAGTAGAAGGTCTAATGTACATGTATCTCAAACCATATGGACATACAGTGCCATCTTGTGGCAGAAATTATAGTTTTTAAAACGTTCCAGGACACTGGCACAAATACGTGACAGTCGGGGCTGAACGGGAAAATGCTCTGGCACGCCTGCGTGTCGGCTGGGAAGTGAGTGTGTTCGTTGCTGGCACATAGACGTGACAGTCGGCGCGAAGGAGTTAAACTATTGCTATTATTTCAATGTAACTGCACATATCTTCATGATCATTTTTATGACATATAAGTAAATAGAATGGTTGTAAGAAATGAAAACTTATATAGTTATTTTAATTGAGGACTACCTTTGCATTAACTGCTTTGAAAAAAAGAATATTCCATTATGACATAAGCTTTCACAACTGAAATTTCCAAAACACTTTAAAATCTCTATGAAATATGCATGAAATTTTGTTAAAGCAGGCAGATTAAAGCTACAGAGAGTGCACATAATCACTTTTTACATTTAATTTATTTAATCTGTGGCTCTATTTCTGCTACACAGAAATTATAAAATGGTGCTTCACAACACTTCTTATACCGTTTAAATTTTTTATACCTAAAACATCCTAAAACTTCTAAACATATAAGGTAAAAACATTTTAAAGCATGACTGATCTATATATATATATAAATGAATTTAAAAAAAAAAAAAAGGAAAGGTTAACCCATTGCCGGTTTTCACTTTGACGGCAAAAACAGACCAAAATGTCTCACAAAAGTTTTCACTTTTGTCCTCAAAACGGGCTTGCCTCCAAGACTCAGGGTGTCTCAAAATGGTTTTGCCTAGAGCAAAAACATTTCTTCCCCCTATTCGTTTTCCGTCTGTTAAGCATTCAAGAAGAGAGAGTTGTAAAACTGAAGCGTACTCAAAGCTTAGATCCTCCTAATTTTCCCCTCAGGTTATTTGGGGCAGGGATGAACCATAAAGCCTTCAACTTGTCTTCTGTAAAACCGATAGCCCGTGTCCCTGACTTATTCTATGACTGAGGTGTTTGTATGAAGCAAAAATTAAGGATTAGAGTTTCTACGACGTTTCAGCAAGACCTTTCGACCTTTCCTATAAATCTAGATATTACAATATAAAGCAATAAATGTTTCTATAGAAACCCTACAATAATATTTAATTTTCATTTTATGCTTCTTATAACCACATTTATTAATACAGAAGTCTATTATACGATTATAGTTCCATTAAATATTTGAAATTAAATTCTGTAGAGACTTTTGTGGAAATTAAACTATATATTAAAAAATGTTTCCTGCGAACTGATTGGTTGTGTAAAGTACTCGTATTACTAAGTTGGATCAAAAATAAAATAAAGGCACTTATTTCTGTTACAACTAAAATTATTATACTTATTACTATTGTTCTATTTAATTTATCAAGAAATATAAACATATCCCATTTCTTTCACGATTAGTAATATTGTATCCTCAAAATTTTTGTTATAAGAAGGAAATATTTTTTACCAAGTTGGATGTCAATTACGTCAAATTATGTGCATTTTTTTTATTTATTGGTTATTAATAGGAAAGCGTCATCTTAAAATCGTTCAGTCTTTGATTCATGCCTAATTGCTTCAAAAGAAATGCACACTATTGTCATTCAGGTTGAATAATTGTTAAAAATTTCACAAATGTCAAATTTATTAATACTACCTTTAAATTTTTAAATGTCAAATTTATTAATACTACCTTAGTATAGTTAGACAATAGTGTGCATAAATTTTTAAGTTCTAAATTAGAACTGTGTTTTAACTTTCACAAGGATTGCTGAGGTATTTGTCTATGAAAATTTAGTGAATTATCACAGTTTTAATTCATAAACTTAAAATTTTAACTAAAAATTTAATATTCTATAATGTTATAATTATTCAGTTTAAAGCAACCTTTTTTATTACAAAATAAAATGTTATATTATTAACAACTTTTAATAAGCAAGCAATCTTAATGCCATCGTTTAAATATTTCAGAGTCAGTTGCTGTATAAATTTGAATGAAATGATTTTCTAGTTTCTTTCCCTGCTACTATAAAATAATATACAACTTTAATGTACATTATAAACGATACTTCTGTTTGAAAAATTAGTGACAGTAAACTTCTAGAAACTAAAGACTATGTTTTAATGTTATATGCAGCATGTTTAATGTTACATGCAGACTTCTTTCCATCACATTCACGAAATATTAAATTTTGAACGTTCCAGAGAAAGTTAATATGAAACATTCTGAGCTTATAATAGAGAGAAGCTTATTGTCTGCGTCAAGTTGCAGTTTACGGATATGAAAACTCTCCAACACATAAATAAATAGTGGAAAAAATACGAATTCACGTAGATTTTATGTAAAGTAACATCGATTGATCGATGTGTATTTTTTGCATTGAAGAGGGGGGAAAAAAAAACTGCAGTTTTTGACACCATTAGGAGTCATACATTAAAAAAAGAGATTCTTCTGTCTAGTAGAAAAGGTTATGCTATTAGAATATGACAGAGTAGATGAGGGCTATTTGCATAAGACTGTTTTAATACATAGGAATGCTTTCGTGAAGGATTTTTTGTAGGAAAACTGACTCGTATTCGCATTCCACAGGTGGAAAACCACGAAAACAAATCATGTGCTCAGTATTTTCGCCTGGGATCGAATACCGGTTGAACTACCAGTATTCGGCTGCTGCATGTAGGACCTTTACACTTACAAAGAGCCTTTCGCTTAAGAACTGTTTATCACCTCTTTCCTTCCCCGATGTTAGGTTTTTGTCGTTATTAGGGGACATTGTTTACTGTTGTTTGATTTCAATGAATAAAGGCAAATCAGACAAAGCCTCTCAACCTGAAAGATAAAATGCCTTCAGGCAGGATTTATAGCAAACTGGTTCGCGTTCGTTTCATGCATCAGGGAATTGCATGCATCCGAATTTTGTTTATGTTTCTTTCATTTAGCTCAAAACAAACGAGGATTATCTATTTTAAGAAAAGAATATTTTAGGGGAGTACTTTATAAGGGTAAATTACTTGTATTAATGTTACACATGGAGGGAAAATCACGAAAAGATCCGTACAGTTAGCTCGTTCATCAGTATTCGGAGCCATATTTAACTACTGTGGTTCAATGACCTTAATCACTTGTGTTCTAATGGGCCTCATGAGCACTGCATTTTTGTTGATCAGGCTAATTTATGTCAAAATCGCACGAAATTTACCAAAATTTAAAAAACTGCTTTCTGACGAAATATTCCATTAATTTTAATTTATCTTAAATTTTGAAATGTGTCAGGTTTCTGGAGTATGTGTGTCATTTTAAACATAAATCAGATAGCATATCTTTTATGTTACACTGAGTAATCTTCAGTGCTATGTAATTAATTCCCTAAATATGAAAGTATGTGAAACTTAAATTAAATATAGAAAATCATTCCATAGAAATATGCTATGCTTGTATTAGTCTAGAAAGGATCAATTATGCGTAAATATTGTATTAGGCATGTCAAGTAACAATTTGTCAGCGGTATAGATATCATTAATTTAAAGGAGATAATTACGATATGTGTGGCTTTTGTTTTAGCACAGTTTTGCTCCCGTTACTTTTAAGCTAAACATATCACTTGAAATAAATTTCTTTCTAAATTCATAGGGATATTATTAACAAGTCTTCTTTATAAATGTAAAGTTTATCCTTTATTATATAAATAATTGAAATGCTTAAATTTGGCATTCTAATAAATATTTTATCTTAACTTTCTGAAAAATTGAATTTCTTTTAAAATGTATAAAAATGAATTAAATTCTTAATTTTTTCCAGTCTTATGATAATAAAATTTTAGAATCATCAGTTTGCATATCCGTATATATTATAAGAAAGTATCTCATTCTTTTTTGAGGGCTATTGTGATGCAAATGATAGTAGATCGGACTAGCAGTCGGAAGCTCTGCGGTTCGTATCCGTGAGAGAGCATAGAAAATTTTTCGTATATTCTCCTCAGAAAAACGGAA